TTGAATAAAAATCAGAGCAACAATAATATAAATGCTATGAAAGTAGTCATGAACAGTAGCCCATCTGTACTGGACAGAATTCTACAAATCAATTAGATGGTCATAAAAAGTTAATCAGATGTGGATGAATCAACTGTGGAAATAAAATGGATTGAACTCTTATGTTTATTGTTCATGAATAACCCTTTTTAATAATCAAGATGGGTAAATTACACTAATTAACCTTTAAAAATTTAGATGATTTCTAAATAATACCTTCAAACAATGCCTATTCTTTTCATTGTTATTTTTAAGTGTTTTGTCCATGACAAAGCAGTTTCATTAGATCTACAGAAGTAGTTAAGTTGTGCTTTCTTTTTTCCTATTTCTGAATCATTAGATTTTCTACAGTATGTTCTCCCACCTCTCCCCCATCAGATAGCATTTAAAGTCAGAAGTCAAATTCATATATCCTAGGATGAAGTGTCAAGAAAACTTGTCTCCTGGAGACCCGTTGAGTTGGGTCTCACTGCTTTTGGGTGGGATAGATTATCTGATGTGGCATCAAACCCTCCTCCTAACCACAGGAGCACCTTATCTGGGCTAGTGCAATGCTGGCAGCAAGGGCAAGGCATAGCCCAGCCCCTTTGGACCTCGGCTGGATCCTTGGGTTGCCTGGATCCTTAGGAAGCTGCAGGGCTGGGGATAGTTTCATCCACTTTCTGTCATGCTTTGAGGTAGCAAGCAATTGTGAGAGCATTATGTGGGTTCCTGTGAGAGAATGGCTGAAGGGAGAGCCCTACAGCTACAGGAGCCTGGAGCATTTGACAACTTTTCAACAGGAAGGGTTATGGAAAACACGCACCTTTATGGGGCAAGGGAAAAGGTATCTGTAAGGGAATCTTTCCAGAGACTTTTTATTACCCCTTCAAAGCCCTCTCTCCAGGTTTTCATTGAGGAGAGGATGGCTACTGCTACAGCACATGCTACTGTAGAAAATGCATTGTTTATTCTCACTGGTGCAAATGATTTGTAAACTGATCAATCAAAAATTTACTTTTATTCAGTATTTTGACTACTCATCCTTCAAAAAATTAATTTTCAGCACTCTGGGGTTAAAACTTCTCAGTATTGTTGTAAGGTCTTAATTAAAACAAAAGAGATAAATTGTGATGTATTAAATAAATAAATAATCCAGGACTGATCACAATACGTTGGATAGAATGGTGAATGGTTTGAGTTTTCTAAATTACTGATATTACCTGCTGATATGAGGGCTGTTCAAAAGGGCACTTCACTTTTGGGTTTATTTATTAAAATCCTGCACTCAACTGTAAGAAATTAGCCTCCTAGAGCTGAATCGCTCCCTACTCAGGGGAGCCTGAAGCAAAGAAACTGATCATGCACACATTGCAGAACTGTAACACAAGCTCCAATGTTTTACTACATCTCTCACAGCAATGTGAGACAAATGTTCTTGGCATAATAGTGATGCTCTTAGACATTTTACTCAAATAATTAATTCCAAATTTACAGTGTTGTACAATTATCCTTTTTATCTTGTAACTGGAAGCCCTTAATAACTGAGGTGCAGCATGAAACACAGGCTATTGGACTCTGACAAAACCTGGAAAAATCAATAGATCAGCTTTCAAGTAAGCATAAATAAGGAGAAAGAATTTTATATGTGAATTTTGTATATTGAACTTCGGAGTAAAGTCCTTCTTGAGTTCTTGTCCTGGAAACAAAGTTATCATTTCAGTTCTTGGTTGGCTACAGGGATTTTTAGCATTTCCTTCAAAGCATGCTCCTTGCAAACACCAGGGCAGTAGAGATGCGGCTCAGGTAAGTGCCTTGGCAACCTGGAAGGCTTTGCAATCTCTCTCCAGCAGGACATACATTCGATGGTCATTCTTTCTTTTCTTGCCAGTTTACAGCACAGTAAGGTTGCAGTTTTTGATAGTGTGGAATAGCTGTACACTAGAAAAATGATAACCCTGTTCTGGGTAAATTAATTAAGCAATGCAATTCCTAATTATCTGGAATTTTAATTGGACGTGTGAGGGAAAGGTTTTCAGGATTTCATCTGAACCTTGCAATGTATCATCCTGCAATCAGTTGCAGTTACGTTTGGTGCAAGATTTCCCAAATGGGAACACCTTCTATCCAGAATTAATATTGTGTAACACAAATATGGGTGGTAACGGGGAAGAATGATAATAGGAACAGGAGAACGCACCTGATCAACATGTGGTGTAAAGACTGGCATACTATAAGAAGGTGCAGGAGCAGGCTGTCCCTATGTGCTCACAGGCAAGCCAGCAGGGAAGACTACCAGACTGGCTGAAAAGGGAGCTTTTCTGGAACTCAAGGGAAAACAGGAGTTTATACCCTCTGAAAAAAGGGGCAGGCAACTCAGGAAGAGTACAAGGATGCCATTAAGTAATTTACAGTGAAAACTGGAAAGGCAAAAAGCTCACTTTTATCATTCTTCCCTGTTACCAAAGGGATTGAGGAAAACGCCACCTGTGATCCTATCCCTTCAACCAGTTATCTTAGCATCCTGAAGTCTTTTTTAACTGCCCTGGAACTTCTCTCTTCTGCCTCTTTACTGACAACCCTGACAAGTCAATTAGAAGTGGGTAACAATCAGATGTTATTCATCCCCTCGTAACATTTCTTACCTGAACCCCAGGGAAGCAGCAGACTTTGGGATGGATCCAGCCAGCGTACGTGGTCCCCCATTTCCCTGAGAAGGACATCACTACAATAATTACCCTTCTTCCTTTCTTAAAATCCATAGTTGCAATGTGTCTGGCTGACTGACTTGCTCTGGGTAAACCCTTGGGTGGACCTTCACCTTCACTAGCATTTGCTTGAGTTCTACAAGTGCACCTGAGAAGAGGCTGGTAGGGGATTCTCCTGCCTTTCAAACAGGGATTTGTTTCCAATCGCTCCTGTCTTTTAGGTCCCCTCCTTCTGCCTGATGGCAAGAGGCTCAGGGTTCTTCTGACTCTTGCTAAGCTTCCATCTGCTGCATTTCTCTCAGGGATGGAAGGGTGTGACTCCACCAGTCTATTTCTCTGAAGTTTGCCCATGGAAGAACGTAAGTGCTTTTGTACTTCTGTACTTTCATACACCTCTACTTGGCTGCAACATGGAAGGGACATCTATTGTATAGCAACAGGCACATCTATCTGCAGAAACGGTCCTGACAGTGGAATTTAGTTGAGAAGGTAAAACCCAAGGAGACAAAAGGCAAGGAAGGATAAACTGGTAAGACCAGTAGCACTGAACCAGAGAAGAGCAAACAGAGGAACAGAAACCTGTTCCTCTATGTCTCTTTCCATAAAGTCATACAGCAGAGGAAGGGAAACTTGCAACAGCCTGGCAAACCTCTGAAATATGCAAGTTTGTTTAACATTCAGCTCAGAGCAGAGAATATCTTGCCCCTGAATTTTTAGAGTATAGGCACATTGACATTAAGCATTCAAGAAAGTAAGAACTTGAAACCAAAGAATGGCAAAAGACTAGGAACAAAGATGAATGCCACATGACTTTTATCAAGTTTTTCTGTCACACACATCTGATAGATTATATAGGGTTAATAAATTACCATCCAGAGTGTATCTGCTGTTGTTTCCTTAGCTATTCATTATGTTTTTAACACTTAGCTGCTACCTTACTGCCATCTTAAGAAAGAGGAGAGTTACAAAGCAAGAAATCTTTCAAGTAGCTAGTAATTCACTACAGAAAAAGCCAGTTTGAAACAGCTAATGTGGTCTTTGTATCAGTAACCAGTATCTCTTGAGGAAATCAGAAGTTTGCAATTCATTTCAAGAACTGACCCCTGATGAGGATTGCAGGCTTTTTTCCCATGTATATATACATATGAGCTTGTCCTAATGTAAACCAACAACACAGAATTTTAATACTAGACAAATATTTTAGGCCTAGGATCTGCCAAGTAATATCTTCTAGAGCTTCGCTCCAGAATTTTCCAAAGGAAATGACATACTGCAGAAATACCTCTACAGCAAATGCACCATGTGCTACCAGTATTACAACACACTAAATCCCTTCAGGCATTCCTCCTGGCCCTGTAACAGCCACCTCCTACCACTCTTTCAATTACTGTTTGAAGTGTGTGGTGTGGCAACTATGCCCACATTGTACTCTTTCAAGCTCTGGCTCCCCTGCCAGAGGGCCAAAAAAAAGAAGTAAAGCTTATCTACTTGAAGTAAGAAAGTTGCGCCTCACTGTGCTGCTTCACCAAAACATCCCTCATAAAATACTGTAATAGGATGTTCAACAATGGCAAAATAACAAAAGTTGTCTCTGTAGGAGACTGTACTGATATGTAACACACATGATAATCTTCCAACTGCACCAGTACCTCTGTGTATCCACTGTTGTATCTGAGATATCTTCCTAGAAGGAGCACCTTAGGGGTTACTAGCATACTTCATCCTTCCTGGAGCCCAAGACAAGAGCTCAAGTAGCTTTCTCTCCCATCTCTGCTGGTTCACCTCCAGAGAAACATGAGCTCCAGTTGCTATAACAAATGTTGTTCTGGATAAAAAGACAAGGTCACAGAAAACAACTACTATTCTTCCAAAGGCTGTGTCAAGTCAGTACTGTTCATATCACCTGTCACAGAAACTGATACAAGGACATCAAAAATATGACAGCTGTAACCAGAGCAGTTTATGTGAAACTCCCTCAGTAACAGCCACTTTTCTTCTAAACTGAAATAATGACAGACAGTAAATAAAAGAATTTGTATAAGTAGAAAACGGTTTATTAAAAAACAAACAAAACCAAACAAAAAGTCACAACACACTCTCCACTGTCTGGCCAAAGGTCTGACTTTAAGCTAACATTCATGTTTCAAAAGTCATGTAAGCATGCATATGGAATGGAAGTTGGTGCCTTGCTAGCATGCTCCTCAAATTCTCCTCTGGGATGGTTTTTAGAATACACTGTGAAAAGGTTATGAAATCTGAATTTCCACAAGACACTGAAAGTGAAGAACAGTTGTTTTTATTTACACATATAGTATTTCCATAAATACCTGTCACACAAAAATGCAATTTGCTGCATTTCTAACAGCTGTACAAACAGTGATAAATACAGAAAAAACCCCACAGGTAAGCATTCCTTCTGCAAGGTTTTGGTAATTTTTTTTCCCAAGTCAGTTTATTTCTAAGGAAGTATTTAATATAATTTCACAGGTCTATTCAAACTACTTACATGAACAGTATCCAAAAGATAGTCCTTTTGAATACTTAATCACCAAGAATTGCATGTGAGACGTAGCTTTTGTGTGCAGGTTAAGACTTTTCAAATACTAACAATGCTGCAGTCCTCCTTTATAACAGAAGGGAACAGATTATTATTATTATTATTATTCCTGAAACATTCTTCATTTTAAAGTAACTATTTCATTAATAAAGCTGCTTTTAAACAAGTTAGTCTGAAAGCTTTCAAGATCATCCAAAAGGAGCTTATGTGCAATGCTTTGTCTTCATTGCTAGTCATGTCTGACGAACACTGCTCAGATCTATGGTTCAGGTATGTGTAAATCATGATGAGGATTCTGAAAACACTTTTATCGAAGAAGCTGCTCAGCCTCCTTGGACTTGCTTTCTTTTGTTTTCCTCAGTAATGCCTGTTTTATAGCATTGATCTTTTCATCAAGTTCAGCCAGTGAATAGCTCTGCTAAAAGAACAAAATAAAAATCACAATCATTTACATCTCATAATTGCTAGAGAAGTGGCTTACCACTTGATACTTGAGGTCACTGCATATTGCACTAAGTGACAGAACTACTTTTGCAGAATTGTCTGAATCTAGTCTTTGCCTATTTGAATTTGAAGGAAAAAGAATGTAAACTTGCAAGAAAGACAGTCCTAATCATGGATCAATATATTCATGCTACTTCTATTAGATGCTTGTTTAATCTGCTCATAAAAAAACCCAAGAAATCCCTTCATGTTAAAACACTGGATGAGATTACCTAGATTTTGCAGAACTTGGGTTTACAGCTAAAGGTGGTTTTTTTTCCTACTGCCCAACATCAAGTTCCTCTGTGCCACTTGACCTGACAATTTTTTTATGTCATCTTACACAAGCTGGTCATCATTCTTTTTATAAAAATATTTCACTCTATGCAGCTCATTTTTTTTCCTAAATAAGCCTACTTTCTCAAGTCCAAGATGACCCATATTCCATTCTAAGCATTCTCCCCAGTCTATCTGTCTCCAAGGGTGATAGCTAGGAGCAGACAAGGTTCCAACCATAGTCCCACCTGCACCAATGATAACTTCTCTCTTGTGGCCTAAGAGGTACATGGTAAATGCAATCCCTTATGTAAAGGTGTTGTGAAAATGGCAAGTCTTACTGACAGGTTAGTATCTGCTACAATGTTGGGTCCCTCTGCAAATCTTCTGCCAAGCCAGCCTTTCTACTTTTGTATTTTCATAAACCAATAAAGCAAATTGAAAGAAAAAAATTTGAATCAACAAAAACCACTAAGCCACAAAAGAACCCCAGAAGACATTAATAGAGGGCTGATCAGAATACAGAAATTGCCTGTTACTCTCATCTTGATTAACAGCATTACACATTTGTTTTATTCTGTCATCCTCCTAACTGGTGAAAACCCTAGTATATATTCTTAGAAAACTCATTTCATTGTAACCTCCATTAGCTTTCTGTCTCCTTCCCTCTCTTTGGCAGCAAGCTATCCTAATACTGATGCTGCTACTTCTGAGAACTTACATACTTGCTTCAAAGAACTTCTCCATACGTTCCACTCAAAACTAAACTTAAGAAAAACAAGAGTTAATAGCACTTACATGGGGAGATTGAACCTTTCGCCTCTTGCCAGAACAGCTCTGAAGAAAAGACAATCAAAACAGACTTAATGTTGCACTGACAGAAGATCACAAATAATTCTGTAACAACATTGTCAAGAGTCTTTAAAGTATAGAAAAAACACTGACTGCCATTCCATGGATTAAAGAAACCTTTTTTCTAATTAAGTACTTTGGATCATGAGAAATACTACTGGAGAGCAGTCAGAAGCTGTTGAAGCTTCCCCATACTTGGCAGTCAACAACTACCAATTTAACTGAAGCTTCCTTCAGACAGAATTGAGCTTTTGAAACTGTCAATATTTTTGTCCCTAAAATTTGCCTATATCCACACCAGTATTTATACAAAACTTTGGATAAAATGTGCTAATTACTGTGCAACACTACTATTGCCACTGTCACAATCTTTTCCCTGATCCTCGTTCTAGAGATCCTAAAGCATTTTCAATAGAAATTTCAGCTTATGAAAGTGTAACTGTTTTAACTTCTGGTTTTCAGCCATTCAAAGGAATAGCCTCACAAATAAAGAACTTTACTGATCTCCAACACAAATTAAAAAATTAAACAAAATGCATACTATTGCTATTGATTCTTTTTAATTGACTCTGCTTTGGCTGGTCTCAAGGGAGAAGACATAAATTAAAATGCAATCAACAGTAAAAGAAACATTCTTACTGCTACATGGGGAAAGAAGAGCAAGATAACAGACAAGAAATTTCTGAAGTCAAACAAAGCTTAATGTAGTAAAAACTACATTAAAAACTAATGTTCTCTTTGTCCTAATACCCTTTGGAGAGTGAAGGTTAAGGTGTACTATTCAGAGAGAGACAGAACCCTTCCTGAAAACCAGAAATAAAGAAAAATAAATCACAGAATCACATGAAGCAATTTTTAAACAGTTTACTCTCTCATCCTTTTGGAAGTTATTCATGTATTGTTAGCAATCAGATCATGTACAGAAGCCTGAATGATTTCAGCTGTTTTAAGCCATTAATGATGTGTATCAAAAATCAAAACTTCAGTCAATTTTCTTGACATAAGAAGCACTTCAGATTTTAAGGCAAGGGGGAGAAATACAACCTCTCTGACACATTTCTTACAAATTAGTTAAGCTTGGGTGGCAGCAATTTTTTCCCCAACAGATACTTTCTTCTTTTGAGTAAGAAATTAGTTAAATATGAACTTGATTGGATGGTCTACATGCAATATAACCATTACACCAAGCCAGAGCTGTTTATTAAAAGTGTCTGCTCTCTAAGTTTTTCACTGAATCTCATCAAAGATTCAAGCACAAAAGGCACAAACACACTTAGATATGCTGAAAGAAGGTGAGAAAATTTCTTACTACAGATTGAAAATATTCAGGAGACAGTCCTTCCAGCTCAAGGATTTTATCTTCAAGCTTCTTAATTCTCTGATAAATGTCTCTTGGAACTGGACCACCTAAATACATCAGTAGTAATGCAAAGAAATCAGGAAAAGCGCTTGAATAACTTATTTAACTAAAGATTGAAAGTTTGATATTTGAATTCTTCCAGATTAGCTATCAACCAGTAGCTGAACAAAATAAATGGATGGAATAATATAAAGGAAGGATAATTAATATGATCCAGGGTAAAACCTGATTGATAAGCCAGTGCAGTCAATGAAAGCAGTAAGACAACTCCATATAGCTGGCTGAAATGTCTGTCTGTCAAGGTTCCTGAAACAACTAATGATGACTCTTACAATACATTGGTCATATGTGAAATGTTGCCACTTCAAAGCTGACACCAGCATTAGGAGAGAACAGATGAGATGGCAGACCACACATTAATTCAGCTTTGATATCTAACATAGGTTTCTTTCAGAACAATCTCCACTGAGCATCAGAGGTTAGAGGACAAGTATGAGTTGTGCTTGACAAAGAATACAGCTTTTGCCTGACCATAGATGGGAGAACAGGAGTGGGGAATGTGTGTATTGAATTGAATAACAGAGGACTGGAAAAATAAATCAAAAAATTGACCAAACAAACAAAAAAGCCCCAAGCTCACCCAAGAACCACCCCAACCAAAAACCCCACAACAAAACCCACTCACACCACAAAAGCACATACACCAAAAAAATCCCACCTCAACCCGTTTGCTGTTTTCATCTATACTACAGAAGCTTGGGCATGTTTCCCCATGTAAAAATAGAACTGATCAAAAGATCAGCCTTAGCAAGCATCTTATTTGCACTCCATAGTATTCTATAATTAAATAACTATATAAAATAACTGTTTATCAAAACTATGTACTGGCTATTCCAATTAAAATGATAGTCTGGTTCTGAACTGCATTGACAACCAAGGCCATAGCAAGCTTTTACTTTTTGACGCTCATTTCCTATTATTTCTAGGTCTGCTAGACAAGACAGTTCTAGTCCACAAACGACCAAAATAAGCACTTAAGGTGGGGTTTGAGTTTTTTGGTTTTCTTTCTTTTGCCATTCATCTATTTTGTCTCTTCAAAGAAACAATTGTACAGGTAGCTTCACTCCTTCAGTTCTGTCCTCAGCACTCAGCACCTACTAATTAAATTGGCTAACCTATCACTTTTAATATTGCTTTCTCTTAATGTAAAGGGAAAAGAGCAGTACTAACACTAGAAGCTGTTCTGAAAAGCAGTCAGTGAGTAAAGATTAACTCTTTCTGTTGCTGGAAGCAAAAACTCATGGAACAGGTAGCTGAGGTATGTTACCTGCTCAGATGAGTATTTTTTGCACAGCTGCTGGGGTATGCATCAAATAATATTGAGACGTTCCCCATGAATGCTGATTTGAACAGGAGCTGAGCTGGTGTTGCATGTTTCCATCTTCTTAACCTATACTATAGTTTAGTTTAGCTGATCCATTCCTTCAAACAAAATTCAATTACCTTTTATAGGCACAACCTGGAAGCAAGGATCCCTCCTTAGCTACCTCCAATCGTTGTCCCTGATATGCATAGATTCCAAAGCTACACACTGTAACTCTAATGCTGGCCAGCCACTTCCAAATTCTATTTCCATGCACAAAAGCCAGCGCATTTTTGAGACAGCTATAGAGCTAAGCATCAAGTTCTAACTGCTGCCTCAAGAGTATCCATGCGTATCTTACTCTCCCCTTGCTGCCAGAGAACTTTAATCCACAATGCAGTCACAGGAATCTAGCAAACTAGTCAACATTTCAAATATTTTTAAGATAATGGATTGGCATCTATTCAGCATTCAGAAGACAAAAAAAATCAAGTGTGTCCACAGTATCATGTGTAGAAAATTCACTTTACTAGATGGAGATTTGGCTTCTGTTTTGAAAATAATTTTCAAGAAAAAGACTAATTCCTCCTTGATAAGAGCATCATTGTGCCTCCGTGCCGTATTATGGAAAACAGGGTCTGGGGTGAGGAAAGAAACTACCTAAGAAACATCAGTAGCCTGATGGCTATGACATTTATTTTAGTGAAAGGTATGGACTCATGTTTGCATGCCTAAAGAGAAATAGTGACAACAAGCTTACCACATTCTGGGAAATAAGCTTTACGCCTAAATGTATTTCAGGAAACACCCATCTTTAGGAAAAGGTTTCAGGTCATCCTTTGTGTTGATTCCACCACCAGCCCACATGTTGTCCATGAAGCAGCCCTTAGTCCTAAACTCAGCTTTTCCTGTTCAGTGGGTCAAGGCAGGACTCCAGCGGCTATTGAGAACCCAAATCTCCAGATATTCCATATTACTTTAAATCCTGTTCTGATGTGCCTTTCTCTTATTGCCGCTACAGAAAGTGTACAAGTGTACTAACTCAGCATCTCAAACTGGACATAAACCTGGGTTCCATTTGGGCATAAAGTCCTAAACACTAGATCACTGTACTTGGGGTGAACTAAACCCTTCAGTGGATCCATCCACTTTTTTTACAGCATCAGTTTTTATGGACTTGCCCAGTTTCACTACAGTAATTGTAACTGCAGTATAAAACTACACACCAATGTCAAAATTAAAACATCATACAAACCTGTTTGTAACCGTAAGTGTGCCTCAATGTTTTGCAATCTCTCCTCGACAGCTTGGTTTCCACAATCATGCATGGGTACACTGGCTTTGTGACTGGACCCATGCGTTCCTTCAGATCTAGTCTGAGGTCCATATGTATTTACTACCCTAGAAACTAGATACAGAGAAAATAAATTTCAAATATATGCACATGAAACACAAAGGAGATCTAACTAAAAGAATCAAAATATTGAAGCATGAAAAACTGTTTTATCAGTTTTACAAAAGTCTTGCATGTGAAGGGTCTTACACACTGAGATCAAAAGTTCAAGTAAAAGCATTTTCTTATTTTTTTGCATGAGTAACTAAACCTAACATAACCCTTGGATTTTATATATGCAAAGTAAAAGAATTAGTCATACAGTCATGTAGAATGGCAGTGTCAAGAATTTGTCATCAGCTGCTGATAAACAGCAGAAACCTTGATATCTATATCAGCAGTTGTACATGTGAGCTTTTATGAATGCAAAGAAAAGGACAGACCTAATATTACAGGAAGTATTGTAAATACATGAAGATGAAGGGAGGTACACAACTGGAAGAACCAATACAAACGAAGTTCACTTCTAGTTTTTGTAATTTGGGTAAAAGCTTTAGTGACTCTTCAGCTGCATCTGGGACTGTCTTTTACCCATGCTGAGCCATGTCTTCATCAGAAGATTTGCTCACTTCTCATTAAATCAGAGTAATTCCTTAAGTAATTACTTAAGTAATTCCTCCTCACAGAACTACTGCAGTGTACTGCAGATTTAAAGACTATATTGGCCAGATGCTGAAGCGCACACACACACCCACACACCATCCTACTTAATACTTCATGAAGGCCACATGCCACATTCTTGCTTTAATTTATGCTGGTTTTACTTCCAATTCCTTTCTAAGTGTTTTTCACGTTTCAGTTATGAACTGTTCCTTGAAGTGCAAATTTCCCTTTTTTCCTGTATTATGCTGCCATCCAACCAAAAAATTAACACTCACTTTAAAACAGTGACTATTGAAAGAGGTTCTTTGTGAAAAATTCTAAAATCAAACTCATTTCCCCATTTCCTTCTCAGCTCACCATACCCTTCAATACTTTTTACTGTGCTTTACAGTATTATTCTGGATTATAAAACTCAAAATAATTAATTGGTTTCTACAACCAACATCAAGCAGATAACTGAATATTGCCACTCGCAAAAATGCAAATGAGGGTTACTTTCATTCTCATTTTGGGTATTTTGTTTGTTTGTCAAGATGGGTAACTTGTGTACACCTAGAGAGCAGCAGATGAACAACCAGTATTTTATACACAACTTCTGTTAGACATAATTTTTATATTATTAATTCCTTTCCAAAAAACAATGCAGTGAAAAACTCATTCTCCAGCTTGTCACTTCTTATAAATCCATGTCTTAGAACTTCCACTGTCCCAAAATACACTTACACCAACTAATAGAAAAATAGAAGATAATCCTATTAAATCTCAATTCCTTACTGATGGCTTCACCTTAGAAGAAAAACTAAGTATTGTTCAGCCTCTTTGTCCTGCTTTATCTTTTCCACATATCCTTTCCAACAATGAAAACAGGCTACTTTGTTTCAGTCTTTAGTGCCTAAACATTAATTAATTGAAGCAGTTAAGGGATTTAAAACTTTGAAGACATAAATGAAGATGTAAAAGTATTCACTGGAGTCAAAAAACAGTATGTTAAGTTTGCATTTTTGAGCATTCTATAAAAAGTTTTGATATCAAAAACTTATCACTGCTGTTTTATCTGGACACTTAAATGGGTATTAAAAGAGTTGCTTACCCTTTATATGACTTTTAAATCCAGGATAGGGTGTGAAAATTGCATCTGTTCTGGCACAGCTATTTTCTAAATAAATAATGATATAACAAGTGAGGTCCAAATTACATACTTGTAATTGAAAATATTCTAACCACTATCAGCTTTGATGCTTTAAACAAATCTAATTAAAATGCTTCAAACAATTAAAAAAAACCCAGAAATACTTGTAAACACTTGCCCATTAATAGTTTCACACACTTGTATGGACCTACTGCTCTTAATTGGATAAGTCACTTACATAAGTATAGGCACACGTGTATATAGTTTACTGGATCAGGACCAAGTGTATCTGGTTCTTACTTCTCACTGCATTTCTCTAGAACTTATCTCCTTCTTCATGTACAGAAGCCTTTTTCCTACTTACCACTGTTATTCTGGTTTTATTCCTTTTCTGAAACTCTATTTTTCCACTGATCCAGTTTACTCACCAGCATTCTTTCCTAAACTTTTCTGCGTTTATTCTGATCCATGTGACTTCTTTCATTTGCTTAACCATAAAAACCTATAGTATAGACAACCTTAATTTATTCTAATGTTTGTATTTTAATCTCTGTTCATTACACCAAAGCTTTACACATATTTTATTATGTCTGAACAATGTGACAGGTCTTATTAACAATTCTTCTGTACATAATTAACAATTCTGGGAAACAGCATTTCACTATCTAGCATATTCTACTAAACCTCAGATGTCCTTTGCATTCCAACTAACATTCAAGCAGTCAAACTCTCTAAGAAGCTTACTGAACAATAAGCTTTGATCTCTAAGAGCTTAAGTACCTCAGAGACAATGCACATGTGGGTTCACAGGTACTTAGAAAGTATCTCTGTGCTACTTACAGTTTTATATACATAAAACTGTCTTAACTTCAAAGATGCATTTGGCTACAGTTAATGATCCTGTAAATGGGATCCAGTCTGCCAGATGGATTTAAGATTGGTTACAGATACAGCCAATTGTACTACAATGTGAACAATGTTAAAAAGAAAAAGTCATTTCAAGTAGCTAGTAATTCAAATTCATTGTAAAAAATACTACTTTGTAATTTAACTAGCACTAAATTAACTTCAATTTAAATACGCAATTCATAAGACATTTCTGAATCGCAATTCCATTTACTTTGGAGGAACATCTAGTTGAGACACTGGGAACAAAAGCTACAAAATCATCTGATCTAAGATAGCAGTTCTTCAAATTTACACAATAATAGATATAATCTTTCTGTATGGGATGCATTAAACATTGTCATCCAGTGACTACTCAATTTATTTTTCTATCTGACATCTGCAGTGCACATGCAAGTTTTAAATTTTAAAATTTCATTTAAAAACAAAGTTACTTTTAAAAAAAGTTCCATCTTAAATACAGATTAGTGCTTTTGAAAAATAAGAACAAAAAAAAACCCCACAAAAACCCCAACAAAACAACAACAAAGAAAACAAACAAGAAAAACCAAACAAACCCCACACAACTTAAATTGGTATGAAGATTAAAGTCTGGCTAGCCAGTTACCTTGATTACAATCAATAACATTGCAAAATTCCCTGACATTATTCTCATTGATCTCGGCTTGTTTCCTCTCGATGAAGGCTGATATCCTCCTGTCAATCTGAAGGTAAATAAACATGATGGCATATATCTCTTTCATTCTTTAAATTTAAAATTTAGAAAGGTCTTTTATTTTTCTGTTTTTAAACTCACATAAATCACTTACTTCTGCTTTTCCAGCTTTTATTTGGACCACTTCTGGATCAAAATTAAAATGAGCATCCTTCAGATCTCTCAAGTCATAACTTCCATATTTTTCTTCAGTCTGACTGTTACCATCATAAACATCTAAACATGTTCGGCTTTCTGTTTTACCTGCAGGTTCAACATGGCCCATATTTTCCTCTTTGATCAATGACTGGAGTTTTTCTAAGAGAGGCTGAACAAAGAAAACAGTGTATTAGGGTTAAAAAAATAAAAGTCCAAAAGTCCCAAAGCCAAGAAGATGAGTACTATTACAATTTCCAAACCAAAACAGTGGAGATAGTTTTGGGAATTACAACATTATAAGATTAAAAAGAAGTTCCAAATATTGAGTACACCACGATTCTGACCTTTTTGACCTGTGTCTTTTAGAGGTTTGTAGAGGAAAACTCCCAAATTTCTGTAAAAATCTGCCCATACTTCCATGTTACTAGCTAAATCAAAGCTTCAATCGCTGACATCGATGCCACTTAATTAACATGTCATTCAAATGCTCACTCAGAACAGTAAGGCTTAGTATTTTTCCTCCTTAACATGAAATCCAGTGCTCTTACATTGTAAAGCCTTTACTTTATCACATCAGCACTATATTCTCCACTTGAAACCATAGTTGCCCAAGTGAATGAGAGAGCACAGACATGAAATTCGTAGGCATTACCATGAACACATGCTTTGCTTGACACGGTTGATTATCTGCTTAGGTCATGAATTAAATGAGAAAAGGCACTGACTTTTATGGCAGGAAAAATGCTTATTTTACTGCAATAACTCTTTACGTACCTATAACATCAAAACCTCAGTACATATATAAGTTCCTGTCTCTTTTTAATTTCCATCAGTTTCATCTAGTCTGAATTTCACTGCTCATTTTCTCTCTATAAATTATTTTAATTTTTTTAAAGACAACATGACATTTAGCAGTCACATTTTCTGAAACGGAATTAAATTCCTACTTGCAGCATTCTTACATGTTGGATACAAATTTTATTTGCTTTTATCTTGCATATTTTCTCTTTCTGCTCATCACACCAAAGATGTGTGGTGGATGTCTGGAAAACAAAGGGTCTTCTGTTTACCTACAAACAAGAAAATACAGAATCTTCCCTTTTCATCCTCTCAGTACTATGCACCTCAAATAATTCATTGACTAGCTGAAGCAAAAAAGTAGTACTCAAATCCCATCTTCTACATATGAACTCTCAAGGTCAAAACACTGCTCAGTTACCAGCTAACAAACTGCTCGCCCTCCCTGCCATGCAACTAAATTACTTTTGGCAGGGTTGGAAAGTTTCAAATAGTTAAAAGAAATGACAGTAATGGTGACTGGCTACTTGGCAAGATGAGACATTAATGTCAAAGAAATTACTCTTTAAAAAAAAAAAAAATCCTACGCTGAAAATATATTTAATTGCAGTAAGACACTCCAGGATGTGTCATGCTGGGATAATGCCACTTCTTGAACCACTGAAAGCACTCTATGAGCCTCAAAACTCACCCAACGCATGGAATCATTATCATAGCATGACACACACCTGCCGTGTCTTATTGCTTAATTATAACCCACCATAGATGGAAATGTATCACATTTACAATGCAAGTCTAGAAATCAATGAGGCTGCATTTATTCAGCCTGCTCACCTACAGTGGCTATTCCCACCACTAATCTGAAAAATCTGTAAATGTAAGTACCTATGGAGCATAGTGGAATCCCAAGCATTTAACATTTTTGCATTCCTTTTTTGTTCAACACAGCAACGGATGATCAAAACTACTGGAATTTTACAGTTGAGACTACTTTTAGTTGTTGATCACTTTTGTCGAGTCAAATGTGTCCCATGAAATATTTACCTGTAAACATAAAATATGCTGCTGAAGTGCACTAAAGAGCAAGGCTGGCTGAAGTGCTGATGTGCTCTGAAGCTTGCTCCAATCGATTACAACTTTCACAATATCCTCTCCGAGATTAAGCTTCAACAGGGCAAAACAGACACAATAAAAATATATATTTTCTGTATTAACATCAAAAGAGCATGCAAAACTTCTACAAAATAACAATTATGCTCAGTTTCATATAGACCCATTCCAATTTTATATGAGAACATTAGAAAGATTTGATATTAATTATAGTCCAAGCAGCTATCATAGTCCCAAGTAAACTAGTATTTGTAGAATATATTCTAAAACTAAAAATTCCTTACTCATCATACTTTCATTGTATTACTTTGGTCCTTGTCTTTATTTAATTAATTCTTGTATGAAAGGATATTGTTCATGTTATCTACTCATACCATCTTTTTTTTAATAGATACTAGAACTACCAATATGAAGAAACATGACCCAGGATAGCAGTCTCCTGTAAATTCACATATTTTATTCCAAGATTGCAAGATTATCTATGCCCGCATGACCTATGTCTTGATGTAAGACCATGGCACATTTTTGAATTTTTACTGGATGCTAATTCAAAGGAATTTTTATATTAAAATTAAGTGTATAAAAGTATGTATTTTTTTAATATCTCAACAGATTACACAGGACCACTATTAAACCAGTTTTCAAATCACACTATTTTCCTGTACATGCATTCGTATTGAAATGAACAATTGCCACAGTCTATTCTCACTGCCAAGGAACTGCAATGTTTAACTCCCAAGACAATAAAGAAAAATACACATAACAAATTTGAAGTATTATTTAAAAGAAATGGGTATCTTCTATAAGCTAAAAACACACTTTCTAATACAAAGATGATTGTCCATAAATGAATGAGCTAAAACACTTTCACACATAATTTTGTCTTTTTTGTTACATTAAAGCGCTTCTCAAGATCTTAAAGAGATGATCCCTTTCATTTCCCAAAGCCAAGTAGTTTGTTCTTCAACCAAACATCCTGCAAGTGACACCCCAAATTCTAAATACAGGTAAAATTCTTGTTTGAAATCAAGAGGACCTACAGATATTCTGCTTGTAACACTGAAATCCCAATTCATATGCATATTTGTACATCTATTCCTCACTCCTTCCATTAAAAAAAAAAAAAGTGGGGGTGGAAACATTAAAAGATACCTCAGGAAGATGACAAAAGTGACCTCTAACTCATGGTCTAAAGACATTTAACTTCTAACAGCATCAAATACTATAAAAATGAACACAGAATGTGTATAAACATGTGTCCTGAGGCCACCACAAAGTGTATGAGCAAACTCTTAGAACTGGACACAAGAATGCCTCCATCACTCTGAAGGCAAAGCTGTGGATGATAACCTTCCCATGCGGGTTTCAAATCCCAGCATTTTGTGAAGAACTATAAGCCTGAAGCTTCCTTCTTTAGTAAAAGATTGTGTTAAATTCAGGATTAGTTCCCAAATTACATAGCAAAGGAGACAGTCTGACTAAATACATAAAGTATTTTAGGTAATTTTCACACAAATGATTATTCCTGTTTAGTACCTAAGCTAACTATACAGGATGTAGGAAAAACAATGTTCTAGGATATACTAGTCTTGAACAAGTTTCAAAATCAAGAATGTATTTAGAATTTAGTAAGAATAAAATTTATTTTAGGAATTAAGCCACGTGCACGTGATCATCTGATGCACATATTTCTGCCCAAAGTTTCTAGAGTAGTATCTCCTACATGTTATATTACAGTCTATTGACAGGGTAAAAAAGGTGTAGAATAAGTCATCCATATGAAACAAAAGAGAAGTGCTACTGCAATTCCCTAATAAGCCTCTTTTTTCAAAAAGAATAAGCTGATAGGTGCTTTCATATCATAATGGAAAACTCCTGTCCAGGTGGTTCAATGCACAAAAACCAATAGAACTTCTAACTTAGAATAATTTAGAGGCCAGTCATTATTTTAACTCACAGACACTGCTTTTAAATAAAAGTAAAGAATAAAGCCCTCCTACATCAACAAAAGTTTCTAGTACAATAGAGTAAGTTCTCAGTCTTTTACATCCTATTGCTTATTAGAACTCTTACAAACAGATTTATAAATTCAGTGTTTTGATAACTTCAAAGCCTTTGTCTGATTGATTACAGCCTATTTAATTTACAGGATCGTAAGTAATTTCAGCCCTTTGGAATTTGTTTTATGAAAACACAGGCTATCACTTGAAACTTAAAGAACTTTTTAGGATCAGCTATATTGGTTTTAAGAGTTATTCTCAGATGACCTCCTGGCCATGTACTGCCATTGATTGCTCCAGTAAAAAATTTCCTGTGCTAGAAATATTGCTGGTTACAGCCCAATTTACTAGCATAAATCCAACTTAAACTACTATAATGAATCACAAACTGTGACTGCTAACAACTTGGCACATGCTCAGTCATCTCTATAAAAGGGAAATGGGGAATCAGTAGTTTCAGTCAAAAATGCAAGACAGTTTGCTAGAATCTACAAGGGGGTAGAACACAGCAGTTAAATCTGTCAGAACTCAAGCAGTGGCAGACACGTGTGTAACTCAGCAACTGGAAAGGATCATAACTGAGTAATTAAAAGGACTTTCACAGCTAAGATGGAGCAACCAGATCCTTACCTAACCAGTACATTGGACAGTAAAATCTCTCTGTTGTCATGGAAAGAAGACACTCCAAACACTAAAGAAGACAATTATACTCTGCACTATAGCTACTGTAATTCTACTGAGGGGATGTAGCAACTCTAAATGGCTCTCTCACTATTGTCTGTGCACACCCAGTTATTTTTAAAAATCACTAGGGCCTTTCCAGTAACATGCTAGGTGTAGAGGCAGCTCTGAAGAGAAAGTAAGCTACTGAAGTCACAAGAAAAAAGTAAGTTTTTAATGTAGGTTTAGAAACATTTAATTAAACTTGTGATGAATACCCGAGTTAAAAGCTTAGGAAACTTTCTCCTTAGTCTGTATATTTCATAAATACAAGAGCTCCAACTTTTCTCTGATGTGTTCTGTCATTCATAGTGTTGTCCTCACAACTAGATAAACTGACAGTCACTAGCTCTTCATTGATCACATTCAGAATTTTCACCAGGAATAATTATGGGGCCTTTAAACCTCAACAGATAGTTTTCATACCTTAGTAGTCCCACAAGTTAGCTGTGTCTGAACATCACACTGTTTAACACTGTACTCCTATTCAAAAGCCAAAAACGGTAGTTTTTAATAATTTTAGAGATAAGAAAACTGAGACTCTTAAGTGCATGCCTGATCAAGCCCTTAATTTTGACTGCCTTTTGTCTGAAAGCAGAGACAACTGTTAGCATACTTGGAGGTGAAAAGCAAATATAATAGAGTTCTATGCAGATGAGAGGTGAAACAATTTAAAAAATACCTTCAAATCAGCCAGCAGCTACTCCTAAACTGCCTCTGCATCTAAGAGCCCATTTCTGTACTAAACATACATTAAGTTACACAAGCTCCTGCAGATATTGTGTATTATCTGGCCTCAAACCTTCAAACTGCTAATTCTTGAAATAAGAGTGTGCCTCTACTGCCTTCATGGAACTACATAAATATTTCCATAGTGGAAAATTAATCTTCAAATTATTTATAGCAATAATTAAGTTATTACTAAAACCTCCTGATAAGGGCCTTCCACCACTACTGTAACTGTGTTACACAATTCACAGACATTACTAAACAAAAAGTAGGCGTTTCAACTTAAGTACAATAGAGAAGAGCACCTCTAAAAAGTCTGACGCTCAGATAAACTGTGTGTTTCATAGCATATTATTACCAAGGCAGGGCTAACTTCAACCTCCTGATCATTTATCTTGATTTAATGCACCGCAAGCTTTCAGTAGCTTTTCAATTCAGAGAAATTAATTAAGATACAGCAATTAAGCAAATTGCACTTTCCCATGGAAGAGATCATCCGTCAAACTACAAAGTGACACCCGACGTCCCATTACTGCCAGGCAAAGGCCCGGTCCCGGCTGTGGGAGAGAAGCAGCAGCAGCAGCCACGCACCCTGGGGCTGCCCCGGCCGGAGAGAGAGGGGGAGGCAGGCGGCACCGCCGCCCCAGCCAGAAGCCAGGCGCGAACAACCTCCACAAACGAGGCAGCTCCCTTGTTTGTGGCGGACTTATGTCCTCTCCAGCGCCGTGCTCTATCCCTGGAGCCCACGAGGGTCACGCAGGCCGGGGAAAAACAGCAGCTAGCCCTGCGCGGGCCCCCAGAGCGAGGTGATGTGAGGCGGGCACGGCGCCCAGCCCAGCTCCGCCCAGAACCTCTCCCTCTGCCCGCCCCTCACTCACCTGCCCCGCCAGCCCGGCCAGACAGCGCAGGGCGCTGCTCGCTACCTCGGAGGCAGCAGGGTCGACCTGCGGAGCGCGGGCGCCGGGCGGGAGCGGGCTGGGGGCCACCACCACCGCCGCCATGACACCGGGCCGAGCCGCGCCGTCGCCCCGCGATGACGAACGCTTGGCTCTGGCCCCGCCCCATACGCTGATGGACAGGAGCGGCAGCCAATGGCGGGGCTTCCCAGCACCGGCCCGGCCCGGGGGCCGCGCTCCTCGGGCCGCTGTGGGGGCGCGCTCCCGGGGCCGCTGCGGGGGCGCGCTCCGGGCCGGCCGCGCGCTCCCTCAGCCTCGGCTGTGCCCCAGCTCCGGCCGGGCCTCCGGGCGTTGCCAGCGCGGGCGCTTGGTGTGCGCGCCTGCAGTGAGTGCGCGCCTGCAGTGAGTGCTCCTTCGTGGGGGAGAGGATCAGCGGTGTTTATTTCAGTAGATCAGATTGCCGCCCTTGTTTCAGCGGTGCTTTTTTGCGTTCATGTGTGTTCCTCAAAGCCTTGATTCTTCTGCTTGCAGCAGGGTTGTTTTTAAATCAGACTACAGGGCTTGTCAGAGCACTCTATGGGGATTGCAAAATTCTCTTCCTGTAAGACAGTTTACTTGTAAATTTTTTTCTTAAGACCGTATAAATGCTTATAAAGGTTTCCTACCTGATGTCTGTTTTGATAGCCTAATTTTGATCTTTGTACTTCTTTCTGTTCCCTGACCCTCTACCAATACTTTTTTATTCCATTGAAAAAGGGTGAGTGCAGTTGTAAACACAAATGTTAAAACATTCTTAAATAAAAATATTAGAAAGTCAGATGAAAATCAGGTGTTTTGGGGGTTCCTTTCCAGATAAGACATACGTTGATATAGTGAAAATGAATCCTACTAAACAAGGCTTTCAGCACCAGCAACTCGCAACATTTGAGGAGACTCAAGCAGAGAAAGCTCTGCTCAGTTCCAGAGAAAAATTAGTTCCAAAGAGGACTTCAGTGCTAATGATTACAAATATATTGCATGGATATCTGCATTTTGCAAGAATATCGTATCTAGGGTGATCTAGAAGGCATTTGCTTGGATTCAGTTGATGGGGGCCATTCTTTGGATTCAGAAATACTTCTGACAGAATGTGATTTAGAAGCTCTGAAACACATAGAAATTTACTTAATTCCTGAAAACACACAGTTTTTGCAAAAAAACCCACATGCATAGAATATGGTAGTCAATTAAAAAAATTGGTGAAATTTTGTTTTGCATTTCTGTGCAACAATACTAATTCCAGCTTGTGATCAAGGGCTGCTTCAACCTGCCTTGTCTCTTACAGTTTTGTCTCTGAACATGCAGCTGGAGAACCCTGCAAAATGTAATCATGTCATTTGGATCAAATCATGAAGCTTTCAAAAATAAAGGAAAATACATTGCTCTTTCCCCTTCCCCACCAGCACTACAACACTAAATTAACACATAAATGATCTGCTGGCCAGAGCAGAATATGGACCACAGATGTTAACAACCCAGCACCGCTTGCTGTTTCTCAGTGTTGCAGGAGATAGTTTGTCCTGACTGAATTCCCAATGACCTGGAAAGACCAACCAAGTCCAGGCATTTGAACCAATTTTTAACTTCAAATGATGAGTGCTCAGCTACCTGACAGATTCCAGTTCGGAAAAATCCATCTTTCCTGGAGTGATGGAGCAGATGTGTCTACTTTAGCAATGGGTACATGTAGCTTTCCTAACTGAGAGACCTAAGATCTTTCCTTTGCTTTTGAACATGTTATCTTTACCTGTAGCCAGAGGTTGTTTTGGGGCAAAAAGCATTTCAGATGAAAAATAAACAGATAAGCATATAAATATCAGAAAGATACATTGAAATATAAGAGAGATTTAATGAATGTGGAGGATTTCAAGAGACATTGGGGGTGATACACTATTATTTTTTTAGTGGTCATTACAAGAAAAGTAGGCAAAAGACCATGAGGTAGTCAGTAGAGTTATTGATGCCACCTTTTATTTACTAAGCAGAAACGGGATCTTGGCCTTCTTCCTGTTTGTAAATGTCTTCTCTTAGAGAAATGGTAATGATTCCTATGGGGAAAGATTTTCTTCCTACTTGCTCTGTCTCAGAAGACCTTGATCTGGGTTTCAACTGCTAGTTGAATAAATTTGGTATCATCTGAAGTTTCACAGATTAAATTATGCAATGCATTAAACAAACATGAACAGAACAGAAATAATCCAAGTTGATTTAAGAGGTTAGGAAAATGAGAGCATGTGAGAAAATGAGTGCATGGGGAAAAGAATGTGCAAATACAGCCAAGGCAAAGATGTTAAACCTTCATATCTAATGGAAGAGACAGACCAGAGTGGAGTGGTTCCAGAAGATGATTATATGCTCACTGCATGTAGTGCTCAGTAAAAATGAATGCACTTGTAATCGCCTCTGGAAGTAAAGCTGGCCACAGTAAATCCAGGCCTCCATAAAGACAGAGGAAATTACATGGCATGCTTACTAAAGCTGGTGAAACAATAAAATTTTGGAAGCTCTCATTGCTGGAAAGATGCTGGTAATTTGGAATAAATTTATAGAAAACTGGCAAGAAGTGGACTGCCAGAGATAGAGATACTTGTTTAGAAAGAGGAATCAGAAGATTTAAAAATGTATAACTTGGCAGTAATGTCCAGATATTTTAATAATATGACAAACAAGGGTGGGAGTAATCTGGAGTTGTTTTCAACACTCAGGGATAGAGTTGTCATGATAATATTAAATCTTCTGCAGCTTTGATCCCTGAATGGAATATTGAGGCACATAAAAGCCTCTCCCACTGAAACCACCTTGAAAAATATAAGCACAAACCCACTAAGTTCTTAAATATCAAATATTGTGATTTGAGTAAAAAGGTTTTGAAATAGGAAACCATTTTCTTTTGGTTTTGGACTATTGCTTCTTTTTATTTTGTTTGTAAAATGATAAACATATTCACCTCTTTCCAAGTGTAGGTGCCTTTAAGCAATTTAAAATCACAGTAAACCTCAGTTAATTGACACAAGTTCTCTTTGTTGGTCACTGCTGTCATAATTGCTAGCAGTTTCTTCTGCTGAATATTACAGTACGATAATTTCTGATCTCACACTTGAACTTTGTTCCTAACTAATACCCAAAGAAAGGTGGGTGCTTGGCAGAATGTACCAGTCATTGAGGTTTGTTGTGCCAAAGAGTGAAGTGCTGAGCTAAGGAGGCTGTGTAACATATAAGCAGATTTTTCTCCTGAATTGAAAAGCTTAAGCTGTGTACTTCTGCTTATGTCAGCTGTAGCACAGAGAGAGGCAAAAGAAGCAATGCTTCAGAAAAAAAAAATAAATAAACTGAAATAATTTGGAGCTTCAAAGATTAAAACAATACTCTGAATTCTGCCCAGTGCCCCAGCAAAATTGTTCAATTTGACACCAACTGCTGTAAATGTAGTTTTTCCTAATATTGAGATTATCAGTGCTGCTCTAAATTATCTAAGTTATAAAAAGAAAATTGATAGTATCATATTCATTAAATAATTAATTAGGGTTAAAATAGGAAATTACCAAGTCCCTCCAAAATAAAAGATTTTATTTATTTATCCAAGCATTGATTTCAGAATTAAGAGCATGTCACTTCTGTTGTTTCCCAAGCACCCAGGAAAAGGCATCACTCCAACAAAGTTTATAGATCCTGGTTCACAAGATACTTAAACTGGTGCCTAATTTTAAGCACTACCCCAGCTGAAAAAAACCTCAGCCTGCATCCCTAAAATGTAGTCATGTGCTTATTAACTTCATCAAATAAGGCTCTGAATTGCAAATCTAGTTCTCCAGTAGGAGCTGAATTCCTTCAAAGCAAATGTCTCTGCTGACCTTTTGGTGTTTCTTTCACTTTATCAAAGTTTAGAAAGCCCTGTTCAGACAGGGTTGGAATGGGGTTTTTTACAAAATGTCTTGGTGGAAATACAGCCCTGATTTGCCGTTAGAAAAGAAAGGCAAACCAATAAACCTATAAGTATCTTGTATTTATGACTTGCAGTAATTTGATTGTTCCTAACATTCACAATGCTGTTGCCTGCATTCTGTTTAGTGTCCTTATCCTGGCACACACATATACCCATGACCCTTCTTTTCTGAATTTTTTTTACCCATGTGATTTTCTAATACTGCTTCATGCTCTTCCTTACTTGGGTCTTTATTTTCATTTTCTTTCTTTAGTAATTTTACAACATATTTGAATTTTATATACCTGCCTGCCCCCTTTCTTGCTACCATCTGAAAATGTGATTAGCACTCTGTACAAAATCCTTCAGTTCAGTTATATAATTTGGGATTGAGAACTGACCCCTGCAAGTCCTAGCTCAACAGCTCTTCTTAGGAAGTCAGTGACCCATTATTATAATTACTCTGTGTTTGCAAATTCTAGACTTCTATAGCTACTTTGAAAGATTTGATTATAAATCTCTTTCCTATCATTTTCTTGTGAGACTATCACATAAAAATGTAGAAGGTGCCTTGCAAAGTAGGTGTTGATGCTCACAGTGTTTTCCCTTTTTGCAGACTGTCAGTACTTTGACACAAGCATTGTGAAATTAAGCATTCATAGCTGAAGACAGACTAAAAATTAATAATTTTCCATTGCATTAATATGTACATGCCGTACGTATTATATATTTAACTCAAGTTTAACGGGACACTTGAAAATCTATATTTAACAAGGAAACAGGAATATAGCATATTTATTTCACAGAAAATTTAACTATTGGGGTTCTTTGATTACTGAGTGCTTGATTTTAAAAGCTGTAGTTTGCATCTTTATTAGTATAATTTGACTATTATTTTAAAATAAATAATAGTGATGGATGCTTAGGAATGTTTTAAATAAGATTCTTCAGTTGTGCAGTGTACAAACTTTTCACTGAGCTTAGCTGAGAGCCAAGTCCTTTTCTAAACATTACAATCTTCTTAGCCTTTTCTGTGGAACAGCTATATTACTAAAATTTAAGTTTATCTCCTGCTTCAACAGTTCAAGTTTTAAATTTCTATACCCCAGGAGCTAGACTGTTATCATCAAATAGGCCACATCTGTCATTATTGGTCTGATTG